GGATAAGTCTCCTCCACCCGCAGACCCTCCCCCAGCACATTGCACCCTGCCGGCCACCGTGCACCCCCTCTCTGACCCACATGGCGCTTCTCATGCATCCCTGTGCACCCCCGTGCACCATCCCCAACCCGTGCCGTACCCCACACCCCCTCCCTGACCCATGCCGCATCCCCATGCATCCTCCCCAACCCCGATGGGGAAGGTCAGAGAGGCGCTGCGTGGGTCGGGGAGGTGCACAAGGCACTGTGGTGGTTGGGGAGAGTGTGTGGGTATGTGAGAGGTGCCATGCAGGTCAGGGAGGGTGAGTAAGTGTGCATGAGAGGCACTGCACGGGTTGAGGGTGTGCAGGGGTGCATGAGAGGTGCGGCGTGGGTTGGGGAGGGTGTGCAGGTGCGGGAGACTTACCCCAGTGACCTGCAATCTTCCCTGCCAGCTTCCCCATTGACTTTCTGGGGAAGGTGCCAGGGAAGGTTGCAAATGGTGATCATGTGGTTGTGGGGTGCTTGGCAACTGATCTTAAGTGCGAACAAGTTGCCAAGCACCCAGATCGCAATCACATGACCATGGGGGTGCTGGGATGGCCGTAACTCCAAGGACCAGTTGTAACCACCATTCGTTCAGCACCATTGTAAGTTGAAGACTACCTATATAAGAAAGATGTGGGAGGAAAAGAATGCTGAAATTAAAATTGAGCAATTCTTTCAAGGTCTCTTTTGTGGAATCCCAGCAGTTACTTCGTACTCCTACTCTGCCTTTCTTCATAAGAGGAATTTTGGCAAATATAATCTCCAATTACAAAAGAGTGAAATATATAGATGCTAGATAGTTCCATTCCAAGTAGCATATTAAAAAAAAAAGCCTCAAGAACCTTATTCTAATAATGAATCCATCAATGTAACTTGCCCTTCTTAACATTCTCTTCAGACATGTCCAGCTGGTGCCCTGTAAATAGATTGTGTTCATGTAAGAGGGTATCTCAGAAGCATTTCTTGCTTTTGGTCAAAGTAGATGAAAAAGGGAACAGCAGAAACCAAATCTGACAGGAGAATATATGGGAAAGATGGCTTCAAGACTTAAAAAAGACTGGGTAATGTTGCCCTGTGAACCAGAAGGATTAGCACCATAAAACCGTACCCGTCTTAAAGTTCCACCTACCTTGGCTATCTGCACACACCAGTTGAGGAGGTCCTGAGATCCAATGCGGTCCTTATTCTCCCGCACATAGTCTAGAAGGCAGCCATATGGCATGAGCTGAGTCACAAGCTGCACTGTGGAGGTGAGGCAGATTCCCAGCAGCCGAGAGACATAAGGGCTGCCTACACCTGCCATAACATATGCCTCCTGTGGAAATGGAGGAGGATGGAAGTTAGAGGTACTTTGTAGGAAGAGAACTATCTGAGAGACCAACAAGCACAAACAACAGAAGCCAAGCAATTAATTGGATGGGGGTGGAGAGGTACACTATATGTCTGTTGCCCTTTGCTGGAAGGAACACACCCGACCAGGAGGGTCATCAGGGTTTTCTTACATCCAAAATCTCCTTATTGGCTTTAGGTGAAGTGTTTTCCCGCAAGACTTTGATGGCCACTGGGATCTTCACACTTTCTCCATCTGGAATCCACACACCCTACATAGAAATTAAAAAATAATAATAATATGGTGATGAACACAATCAGATTATTCTTTAATCAAGGAAGTGTGTGTGTGCGTGCGCGTGCACCCAAGACGCATGGGGAATTCTGCACCAAAATTCCCCAAGGAGTCACTGGGATCCCACCCACACACTGAGTCTACATAGCAAATTAACCTTGGCAATTTTTAAGTGATATTATTTAGCTGTAATCACAATTAGCAATGTCTTCTGATAATCAGAAACTTAGTCAATCAGAATGAACATACAGATTTTGGACTAGATGAATAAGAAATGCAGCATAAGCAGCAGCAGAATATATATAAAAAGTTTTTCAGAATTTTACAACAAAGGCCTCAATTTGAGGATACATATTTAGGGACCTAAAGCACAAACATGCATTTTACTATGGCTACATTGCTTGCAAAACTACATTACACCTGTACATTAGAAATGCAGATAAAGATGTGTAAAAAAAAAGTGACTTTTCTGAGTTACAGTGGGGCAAAGAAGTATTTAGTCAGCCACCAATTGTGCAAGTTCTCCCACTTAAAAAGATGAGAGAG